CCAAAATCTGCATATCATCTTTCCAATATCCTCACACAGGGTCTTTGTGAGATCAAAGCAAGACATTGCGAATGTCGGGATGGCTTGTGCACAAGCTTTAATAAGGATGTCTTTCCCCATCTTTGACAGTAATCGCTCCTGCCACCCCTGTATCTTTCTCCATATCCGGTCCTTCAGGTACTCAAAATTTTTGGTTCGAACCTGTCCTACGTACACCGGAAGACCGAGATATTTCTCAGTTCTAGCTTCTGCACTTATATTCAAAACATGCAATACCTCCTGTTTCCTACACGATCTAGTGTTTTTACTGAATATAAATGAAGATTTTTCATAATTCACAACCTGGACCGAGCACTCCTCATATAGATGTAGCATATTTTGCAGATACGTAGCACTCTCAGCTGAAGCTTTCATGAGGACTAGTGAGTCATCTGCAAACAGTAGATGGTTGAAACTCGGGGCATTATTGCAAATCCGGATTCCTTTAAGAGAACCATCAGCCTCGGCCTTGTTCAACAAGGAGGAAAAACCTTCCACACAAATAAGGAAGAGGTAAGGTGATATAGGATCACCTTGGCGCAGACCTCTTTGTGGCACTATCGTATATGTGCATTCTCCATTCACTCTGAACTTATATGACATTCTCCATTCAGCTTCTATGGTACTGTTAATTGACTCGTGGAGCAAGATGACCTCCATAACTTTTCCTGCATGCGCTGTTCACACTATTTCTATTGACGCGTTGAAATTTTTCTCACACCATTTTTTTAGTTTGATGGTAACTAATTTGGAGGAAATTTCAAGGTTACACACATCTCACTATCATCTAGACATGTATTACTGTTTATGCAAGTTAGTATGATATATGTGGCATCATTATGCGGCTACAAAGCTTTAGCCATGAACTCATGATCATATATCTACAAGACGACAAGAATCAGTCGCTTAATGACTTATTTAAAAGATAATAATACATCTCCCTCAAAATTAGAGATGTTGCTAAATCACATGAGCCAATGACAAATGAACATAATATAGCGTCATAGAAACCACGTCCCCCGTACTCCCCTCACGTCCCCCGCGTCGCCCCCCGCTAGGGCGGCTCGGGTGGAAACCCTAACCCTCGCCGCTGGGCATGTCCATCCCCCCCTCCCCTCAGCCGCCGCTGGAGGAGATCGCCGGGCGAAGCCCCGGGCGGCTGACGGCGGCGGCGGAGGCCCTCTTCCCTCCCACGCCGGATCGGGTGGCGGGTTACCCATGGCGCCGGGGCGTTTCTTCCCCGATCTGCATCGCGGTGGCGTGGCTATTCGTCTCTGGCGACGGCACAAGGTGGCGGCGTGGTGCTGGGTGGAGGCGGCGAAGCTGCTAGGCTTCGAGGAAGATCTGGTGGCGTCGGCCGCATGGTGGGCTCGCAGGGTCATGGCGGCCTTGGTCGCGGTGGCCGGCGGCTCGGCCTGTCGGCGATGGCTCGATCCCGGGGCCCTGGAAGGTGGCGGCGGGTGAAGCTCGGGCTTCCCGTGTGGCATGGCGTGGTGCAGTCCCTGTCCAAGGTGGGTCTGCGTCGGTGATCTCGCGGTTTTTGCTATGGATTGGTTCAGATTAGAGACGGTGATGAGCGTGCGGGATCCATCTCGGCAGCTCTCGCGGTTTGGCGAGGTGGGGTGGGAGCCCTCCTCCCAGGCTCCAGTGGTGGCACACTCAGGCAGTGGCCAGTGCGCCAGGGCTCCTACGGTGGCACTGCTGTTGTGGTTGGTCGTCGGATCTAGGCAGCTAGATCTGGGGCTTTGAAGGCGGTCGAGACAGTGCACAGGTTGTCGGGTGGATTTCTTGGGACGGACCGGATGAAAACTTGGTCTTCGGTCGTTGGCCGGAGCCGGTGGTGACGATGCCCTTATCATTGTTTCCTTCATGAAGGCATCATCGAGGTGAAGCTCCCAACCCCACCCAATACCCCCGGGGGAAATCCTAGATCAGTTGATCGGATGACGGTGGCAATCATGTGTCGTTACTCCCTTGGGGGCGGCATTCTTGGAGATGCACTCGGGCTCAGGGACCAGCAGACGGCTTCTTCGGTGGAGCGGTGTTTCTTTCTACATATTCATGGCGGCGGTTCTCGGCGGCATGGAGCAGTGGAGGCTCGGCGTTAGATGTGTGGTGATGGACACGCGTAGGAGGACGACGTTGTCTGCCGTCGTGGTGGCGTCGATGGCAGAGAGGCCTGACAAGGTCGATGCATTAGTATATGCTTTGAGGATGGATCGATGGAAGACGGAGGTGACGGCCCTTTGCAGCGTGTGCGTGTGGTACTCACTGAGAGTGCGCCGGACCGGTGTGTTACCCAGTCCCGCCTATGTGGCTTGGATGGGGCATCCGGCTTTAGATGTTAGGCTTTCGTGCGATGTCTGTTTGGTATTTGGCCCGGACATTCGGCACCCCTTCATCAAGAGGATAGGAGTAGCGACATGTGTCGTCTAGATGGTGGCCTCGGGCTTACTGTTGTATTACTTTGTAAGGTCTTTGTGAATAATAAATAAAATGGCCGCATGCATCACCCAAATGCAGAGGCCGGGGGTGCTTCCTCCTTTTCTAAAAAAAAAAAGAAACCGATCAAGTATTTTCTCGCTACCCATTAAATCAGCATCATGTAATTCCATTATTTCCAAAATGGAGGAAAATTATGCGACTGCGTAACATTAGGTAGTTGATTTACAGTGGTTTAGTGAATATGAGGTGCCTTCTTTTGCGAGAAAAATACGATGTGCCCTTGATGGGGCATTTTTTGAAAAGAACACGTCATTTATCTAGAGTGTTTGCCTCTCAACCATCTCTCTCCGAATCCCATCTTAAAGTATGAACTGGGTTCTGTTGGAGAAGCCATATTCGGCTTTGCTCTTGCCAGATGCAGAATATATTTGAAGATGGAGATAGGGATTTTGGTGAGAACATATGTGGCAGCATGCCACCAGGCCCACCTGTGAACATATAGTATGGAGAAATCTATGGGCCTGTTATGATAGTTCTGTGAGTTTACAATGAATTGGCAAATGTAGACGTCCCTTCCCTTGCAAAATGCTGGGATTACTGATCATATTAATAAATCATGGTAATTCTACGGCCAGATCATGTTATCTCCCAGTGCCAATTATGGGATACTCTGTCCTCTTTAGTGAATGGTACCATTTAACATGCTCATCGCGTTACTTCCATAGATTGCTGTTGTATTTAGTCAACATATTCCACTGACAGCAAATGCGCACTCATAACCTCTCTGCTACAGGCGGCGAACTTCAGTATCAATCAGCTGACCTTCCATGGCTGACAGACACGCATGCATGGTGATTGGCGATCTTGTTCAACTTGCCGAAGAACAGACAGCCATTATGGAGAGCCTCAGTTCATTGCTACATTGCCACTTTCTTTTGAGCAAAAGCTACATATCCCTGAATGGTGGCCTGATTCGACTTTGCAGCTCTCGTGGTCTTAGTGGCCTCACCACCTACAATTTGAGCATCTCAGATTCCCTATTTGTTGTCCGTGCCGTATATATCCTGGGAGCACTTTCAGAGATTTGTTCTCCATTATGTGACTGATGATGCTCATAATACAACTGAAGCAGGTCTGGGCAGGCTCTGCTCAACTGCATACTGGTCTTCTGCTTGCTGATAGGGAGATGGTTATCTTCGGTTCTGACGCTGCGCGACATGGTAACATCGACGTACTCCCTCCGTTCGGAATTACTTGTCGCAGAAATAGGTGTATGTAGACATATTTTAGTTCTAGATACATCCATATCGGAGACAACTAATTCCGAACGGAGGGAGTAGTATGGTATGACCTTCCATGCATGACGGACACGAATGCATGGTGAATGCTGATCTTGTTCAGCCTGCTGAAGAACGTGAGAACGAACGGCTATGATGGTAAGCTTCCCTTCATGGCCCCTGAAAGGTGGCCTGATTCTTTTCCTCGTGGTATTAGTGGCCTTACCACCAGGCACCTATAACTTGCACGTATCCTGGGAGCACTTTCAGATATTTGCTCTCCATTATTTGAATGATGATGCTCACGGTACAGCTGAAGCAGGTCCGTGCCAGACTCTGCCGCCGTGAATACTGGGGTTCTGCTTGCTGATAGAGGGAATTGCCTTCCTTGTGGTTGAAACGCGGAGTGGTGGAGATGATGTTCAGCAGTTTATGCCCCTCCCATTCAGTAGACTACTCGTGGCTGTGGGCTCGTTTTCTCCCAGGTCAGTATTTTTCTTTTTGCGAATTTCGCCAAGGTTGCTGTGTATATGAATGAATAGTGCCAAGAGAATGTCATCAGGGTTGAGTTTTAAGCTTCCAGTGTGTCCTAATAACACCATCAAGATTGAATTTTAAGCTTCCAGTGACCAACTGAAAATCGTGACCACAAGGGAACATCGGTAATGATGGTGGCGCAGGGTACGGGAACAATAATGTGGGTGCACGGTGGAGATTCCAAGTTGAGTTCGGCTAGGCACCTGCGATCTGCATGCACATGCATGGGCCATACGGATGTACCACCATAGTTTGATTTTGCCTCAGGAGACCATGTTTCTGCTGTGATTTTTACCTGAGTTCAGAACTGGAATGTGAAATGCCACCTATAAACAAATTCTGTCATCCCTCAGAAGAAGTTTGTTAATTGATATTTTTACCAGGCCAATCAAGCGTTTAACATGCAGCAAATCTCTTCATGCAACTTCAGGATAGGACGCGACATGGTATTTCTTTTCTAAGTGCTAGCATAATTATCCCTGCTTGGTACAGAGAAATGCAATCACGCTCAAGCACTGAACATTTCGCGGTGGACATGACCCCAAAAACTTTCTTCCTCTCTTTTATTCGAGCCACAGTTCAGAAACCTTTTTTTTAGTAATTACTCTATGTTTTCATTCGCTTAAAAGATCATTTAGATCTCTATGCTCTCTGCTACTACAAACTGAGGAGCAGCTCGACGGCATCACGCAGCTCGGTCGGCTAGGCCGCGGCGACGCTGGGGGAGAAGGACATCGGCGCGGAGCACGGGGAGGCCGAGTAGCTGCTGGCTCTGAGGGCTTCTGATCCACATTTTTCTGCGTGGTCGTCCATGAGCATCTGGTGGCATCGGCACTCGGAGCTGCAGAAGGCTTTCTCCCCCCTAGAGTTGCAGGTCAAGAGAAGAAGAGAGGTAATCAAGTGGTTAGTGTACTGTTCCTTGTCACTAAACTCTGAAAGTATTATAGACTGAATTCACCAGGAGCCATGCTTTGCTTGCCATTTAAAAAGATGTTTATGCGAGGTGCTATGCTGAGATGAGTGATACTACTTATTAAGGTGAAATGTTTTAAGATAAAATTCTGCACCTATCACAACTTATCTGTCTTCTGCTTTCTTAAAGGATAGCTGAACTAGGCTGTGCTCCAGGAATACATAATCATGGCATCCTTCAACCGAAGGGCTAATGAATGGCTACAGGGCCAAAGAGTGGTTATTGCTACTTTGAACTCATAATTTCAGCTGTAGACCTACCCCTAATTGTTCTCTGAGAAAGGAAGGTGAAAAATATTCCCACCTAAATAAAACAAGAAATTAAGATGTGATGTACATCAAGCTTTGCTTGGTCCAACAGACATGAAGGCTCACTGTCCACACAACCAAAATTAAAACAAGGAAAGGAGATTCCTAAAGGATGGTAGCTAGCTAAAATTCTCACAAACTTCTTAGGAAAAAAATTGGGAGGAATGTATTCCATTCAAATTGATATGAACATGTGAGATTCCTGAAGGATCATATGCATCTTGTAGCTTATTTGTTTCAGTATGGCATCAGTTATTAACTCCTTGCGATATGAAGTACTACTACTCGTCAGTTGTTGGTTGGTTAACCACTCACCTATACATGTAGATGTCGAGCCCATCAAGCCTCTTGTTGCAGAGGCAGCAGCGGCTCAAGAAGTCGTCCGCCCTCGCCGGCGCCTCCTCAGCGGCCTCCACGAACCAGCTGTCCCCGCCGTCGCCGAACCCGAAGTAGACGCGCTTGCGCATGCTGCCGCCCTCGCCGGCGCCGGCGGCCACGTGCGTGATGACGCACGTGTAGCTCTCGGAGAGTTCGTCCTCCTCGCGCGCGCGGCGGCGTGCGGCAGCGCCGATCGCTATCGGCTGGGCGGTGAGGCACGCGCGGCTCATGGCCGCGACGATGCCGAGCCCGACAACGCCCTCGGCGTCGAAGCTCCGCCTCGGCGGCTTGGGCTCGGACGAGCTGACCCGGAGGAAGATGGAGAGCAGGTTGCCGAAGGACGACGAGGCCTTCTGCTCGGCTGCCGGCTCTAGAGACCTCGTCATCATTTTCTCGCGGGAATAGTGGGAGAGAGAGAGAGGTGTGGGCTTCAGTTTTGTACTGCTCTCCACACTCCCACCCCTCTTCTCTTTCCTCCTAACCACCTGTCTCGCCGATGAAGAATACTAATGGAGGAGGGAAGGGAGGGAGGGAGGAGATGGTGCTGGTGGTGGAAGGTGTTTTAAAGGGATAAATGGTTTGTTGTACTATATTTTTTCCTAATAATTAGTGGGGGTTGAACATGTAAAAAACCACTTTATTTCTCATAATTGTAGAATATTTCATGATATCTCTACTCTTATAAAAAAACAGAGTTGATGATGATGGTGTGCTTGCCATCCTGCAATATAGGTGATCCGATTTATATCCAACGGATAGAAAGGAAACTATTATAATTTTGTAAAAAGATACCCATACCCCTCTCCACAGAATAAGGTTTTCCCTCGTTCATCCTTTTCTCCTATAAGATAAACTACTCATACAAATGCATCTTGATTGTAGAATATTCCATGATATAACAATATTAATTTCCCAATGAGAACCAATAACTTGTCCTTTTTCATCTGCATATGAGAATTAAATATAACCACATAGACAAAAAAAATCAAGCCTGGGCATGAGAATCAAGTGCTTGTCCTCTTGTGAAGCCGAGCACTTTAGCTTCCCCACTATGTTTTCTTTTTTTCAGTAGAATTAATTGTCTCTGGATGCATGAGTAGGAAAGTTTCATGTGTACCCGTAGCTTGTTTATTCAGCTTTTTGCCATTTTTAGCCGGCTGTCCATGTTGACAAACCTTGCAAACCTGCTTTCCGGCGGTTCCACCCGGGCTCTTGTCCGGCTGCCCGTTTACGGAATGCAATTAGTTCTTCAGCTACCCTTCGCCTGCCCCCAGCTCTCACATGCCTTTGTTTTCATTTATTCCGCCGTTGCGCAAGGAGGCTCGTGAACTTTCTGAAAGCACCTGGCGGATTTGGGGAAAGATATCCTCGCGCGATTGATCGATCCAATGCGGACGGGTCTCTCTCTCTCTCTTTTCGCGCGTCGCGATCGTCGTGGGAGGAATAGAGGGGCGAGGTTTATTGCGGTGGCTAATCATCATGCGGAGGCAATTAGTAGTAGTTGTTAAGTGGTGCTACTTGGTTATTGTTAATGTTTATAATAGGAACCCAATGCTTAGAGTTGTCATCATCATGAGAGATATGCCAGTAATAAGCACTTTAAGGCCAAAAAGGCAACGCGTACCCTACGGTTCGTCGTCCGCGATCGCCGTGAATTTGGTTGAAATACACGCTAGACTGAGAAATTGCAGCGATTATTAGAAATTTCAACTTGGTCTGTTTGAAAGGCAGGAATTCAGTGAAATTGTTGTGTTTGCCAAATCACCCTTGTTTAGGACTAGGTTAATGTCAATCTTGAAATTTCTTGGGGTATAGGAAACATTACTGAATAATTATGGTCATGCCCTAGAACAATGTAGTATTGTCTTCTCAAATTTAATTGTGAAAACAGGAGGTACGATTGCTTGTTTTACTTTGCAGGAGAAATATGATTGCTTCTTGATACAGTGCCACTGCCCTTTAACGATCTCAGGCAGCAATAGCATCCGTCGTTGTCTGCTCCTTCTCATGGCCGGCACACCTAACAAAATAATTTATAGCCCCCATCATGCATGACCAATACACTTGAGATTTATGGTCCAGAGAGCTTTCCTGTGATCTGGGTTCACTGTGAGCCAACCATGAAGGACATCCCTTTCCCTGTTGACCAGACAAGGTACACGACGTTGACATCCATGCATATGTGGTTGCCTGCCTATGGAGAGGCAAACATGGCAGCTTAACCAGAAATCATTAACATATAGTGCTAAACTTGGGTTGGTTGGTGCAGCTACCTTAATATTTAGAAGAAGAAAAATGTAGAAATGCATTCTGAAATGAAATTCGTCATATGTAAGGCACTAGTTCTGAGTTCTGTTTTATTTTACAAGTTTTTTTGTTTGTGTGTTTCATTGGTGCTCAAACCAGACTTGATGAGTTACTGGATGCAACTTTTTCTGAAATAAAATGAGTCATGGAAAGATTAAGAAATATTATAAAAGAGAACAAGCAGGACGTTCGGACATGGGAAATAATTATCCTCAACTTGTCAAAATCACACTTGATTATAGCCGATGTGGCAAGCATTAAGCGTTATCACATGGTAAATAAAGGAAGTGGAGGACAACCTTTCCATGGGTGGTTGAGTTGTGACTTCTCTTTTGATGGGTGGTAGATTTGTGCCTTCCCAGGGCACGACTCTATTTGTTAGCCAGAGATAAAAAAAAAAGACGGTGTTCTCCTTACCTTCTGTCAAGGCGCCGGGCTCGAATGGCTTCATTGGAGCCTTTTTCGGGTCTTTCTGAAAAATTGTCAAAGATGATCTTACCGTTGCCATTTTGCACCTTGCAAGTATGAATGGTGACTATGCAAACATCATCAGTTCCACCAACATAGTACGGCTCCCTAAGTCTGTCGTTGCGCAAAATGTGGGAGACTACCGCCCAATCAGCCTGATTCATAGGATCTCCAAGATTTTATCTAAACTCTTTGCCAATAGAGTCGCACCCATGCTTGGCGACATTGTCTCCAAGAGCCAGATTGCCTTCATCCAGAAACCGACATCCACAATAATTTCCTACATGCCTGGAATCTGATCAAGACTTTGCACACAAAGAAGACCCCATCCTCTAACTAAAGCTTGATATATCTAAAGCATTTGACTCGGTCAATTGGCCATACCTGCTTGAGGTGTTGCAAGCTCTGGGGTTTGGTGAGAACATGTGCGATTGGATTTCCTTGTCACTATCATCCTCTACCTCTCGCGTGCTACTAAACGG